TATATATATGTACCTAGTTGTGAGAACATGAAGTGGAACATTGGGACTTTCACAACATGCTCAAACTTTTCCCAAAGCACCAATTTTTACAGATTATTTATGTAACATAATGAACATTGAGTTGTTACAGATGGTTTTAAGTCAGTTTGACTGAGCTTTTTTCCAGATAGATCTATAGAAAAGAATTCCGTTTGAGGAGATAGAATTTGGTAAATTTCAACAAAACCAGCTGAGCTCAGAATTACAAAGTCCTATCTGCAAAGTAGTCCCCCCCAATGAGATATAGATATATTTATCATCATTTTTAGCCTATTTAGTCATTTTTAGTTGATAAAAATACCTTAAAATATCTTTCTTTATAAAAGTAAATATATGTATTTTATGGGCGAAAAACCACAACACCAGCCATCGTATATATTTATACGACACAGTACTGCATGAACTGCTGAGAGTTAATAAAATGTCCCCACTTGAGAATCAAACTGGAGTGACGTGCATGCGACGGTGAAGTGTCTAACTACTGCACCGCACATCCCAGAGTGGTAGGCAGAGCTGACAAACTTGACTCATTGTACATGGGAAGTCCATGGAGGAAATGGGCATAATCCCATACACAGGGATACATGGGGAAAATGGGCATAATCCCATACACAGGGATACATGGGGGAAATGGGCATAATCCCATATATAGAGATATGTTGGGGAACGGGCATGATCCCATACATAGGGAGACGAGGGGAAGCCGGCCTCGTCAAAGACCTAACTGGTGTTGAAACGAGCGTAAATCCCCCCACAGTAGCTTACACTAGGTACCACGGGGGCGCACGGCCAGTTCGCGGTACCACAAACTTATACTGTATAACTTATACCGTATAAAAACAAGACAACATAGCCAGAGATTTTCAAGAACAAAAAAAACCCAAAACTTTAATGGCTTGCATAGTGTGGAGACTGGCAAAACAAGGTCAGGACAATGTGGCAGTGTCATGGTGACATGTGGCAGTGTCGTGGTGACAGGTGACAATGTGGCAGTGTCATGGTGACAGGTGGCAGTGTCGTGGTGACAGGTGACAATGTGGCAGTGTTGTGGTGACAGGTGACGACGTGGCAGTGTCGTGGTGACAGGTGATGATGTGGCAGTGTCGTGGTGACAGGTGACAACGTGGCAGTGTCGTGGTGACATGTGGGAGTGTCGTGGTGACAGGTGACGACGTGGAAGTGTCGTGGTGACATGTGGCAGTGTCGTGGTGACATGTGGCAGTGTCGCGGTGACGACGTGGCAGTGTCGCGGTGACAGGTGACGACGTGGCAGTGTCGCGGTGACAGGTGACGACGTGGCAGTGTCGTGGTGACAGGTGACGACGTGGCAGTGTCGCGGTGACAGGTGACGACGTGGCAGTGTCGTGGTGACAGGTGACGACGTGGCAGTGTCGTGGTGACAGGTGACAGGTGACTGTGGTGGTCATGACAAGAAGTCTGCCCGGCCTGTGACAAAGTCTCGGCGTGGTGAGCTCCCGGTGACGCTCTCATCGCAACACACTGGGCACAGGAAGTGGCTTCTGTCTGCGGGCCAAAGAAACAAAAATGATGAAAAGTGTCACAACACACTCAATTTCTGGGCGTTTCCTCTTATTTCTTCCATCTGACAACTTTCAATACTTCCGTTTGCCTAGTTTTTGATTACCCCCCCACCAGTTAATTAGAAGTCCGATGAGATATTTGCGACTGAAGGAGGTGGAGGTCGCTTGTGTCAGAAGAAACATCAGTGAGAAAAAGGCTACCAACTCGGTGACTTTCAAAGCTTGAGTGTCCTTAGAAACTGAAAATTTGATATTTTAAAAACCTATTTGTAAGTATAATCGACTCAGAAATGTGTTTTTCAATCGACATACAAAGTGTGGAGTCCAAAACAAACAAATTCCTAAAAAGTTGCCCAATTGTGACCTCAGAATGACAAAGTTCTATGGGCTCAGTTTATCTACCGTGTACCGAGTACCGAGTACCGAGTTGGGAGAAATTTGACGTTTTTGAGTTTCACACGTCAAGCCTTTTCTAATGCAAGTCTTTGAATATCTTGACAACCACTCAGCATTATCTTAGAATGTTGACAGAGCTGATAGAACGTTGTACTCCTGACCTGATGGTCTTAGTCTTAGTGGAACTCACAATTGCCAAAATGTCAGATAGAACGTTGTACTCCTGACCTGATGGTCTTAGTCTTAGTGGAACTCACAATTGCCAAAATGTCAGATAGAACGTTGTACTCCTGACCTGATGGTCTTAGTCTTAGTGGAACTCACAATTGCCAAAATGTCAGATAGAACGTTGTACTCCTGACCTGATGGTCTTAGTCTTAGTGGAACTCACAATTGCCAAAATGTCAGATAGAACGTTGTACTCCTGACCTGATGGTCTTAGTCTTAGTGGAACTCACAATTGCCAAAATGTCAGATAGAACGCTGTACTCCTGATGTAGCCCTACAGGAAGGAAATGTCACTGTCAGTTTCTTCTACTTCATCATTGAGAGACGAGCGGCTCATCTCACCATGCAGCCATACATACAGGGGCGGTTGGTTAATGGGGCAAGACAGAGCCGGTCACTTTTTATTGGCTGGACAGGAGAGTGAGTGGACAGTGGACAAGAGATTTATTATTGCAAGACAAATGCAAAATCGTGCAAGTTACCGTAACGCCATTCACAACACGTTTAGCACTTTTTCAACAAGAATGTTCATGTTTTCTGTCGGCTTACAGAACAATTGAAAACAGAACATACAGTACCCTAGATCAGTATCAGTCATTTGTTGGTGTATTTTGGGAAAGAAAACAATACACATCAGTCAGAAAAAAACAACAACAAAAATCTCTGAAACTTTCAGCTGTATAGAGGAAAGAAACATGAAAAAAACCAACAAAGACATCTGGACCAGACCAACACACCAAATAAAGGCAAAGTATTAGATATCTATATTATGAAGTGTTGAGGTGTTGACAGACGCACTGACAAACGAGAAAAACAAACAATTGTAACACAGATCTAGTAGATTCAGTAGTCATGTGTGGAGAAGACATGAAGACCAAAAAAAAAAAAAAAAATTTCTATAAAAATTGCTGAACTGCCGGAAAAATGCCTGTTTCTTCGTTTTAATTATTTTAACAAGCGCCTGATTTCGGCACGATGCCTCACAATTGTCGCTGACGTTCACTTGCGGACGTCTTGATCGCCGTCATGTTATTTCAAAAAATGATCCTTCTTTACTTGGTTCCCGGGTGCCCATTGCGGATCTGGTCGGGTCGGGAGCCAGTGACCCACTCCTCGCCTGAAGTGTTTGTTTTTGAGGCGACGAGTCGGGCGTGATTGGCTTGTGCCACAATAGCCGCTTTGTGCCCTCAGTCTGGCGAGCAAACCCCCCCCCCCCTCCCCAATGGGTGAACATCAACAAACCCAGTCCAGTCACTGGAAATGTAGAACTGTGGACTTTGAACACCTGGCACTATTCAAGAGTTTTGTTTTCCTGGACAAAATCTTTAGCTCTTTTGACAGTCAAAATATAGACCTAACTGTTTTGTGAAAATTGCAAACAAAAAAAGTGAAAAAACTCGAGGACTCCAAAATTATGCAAATGTTACAAAATTATGCGCAAAAATGCGGGTGTGGCCGCACAATGGCATAAACCGAGAGGGACAGACAAACAGACCCACCTAGGACGTTTCTTTGTCCGCGAGGACGAGGAGAGGGAACATCTGGAGGACACACTGGAGGACACGCTGGGGGACACACTGGAGGACACACTGATGGGGTCGCTGGCTGTCGCACTGGGGGACACACTGACGGACACACAGGAGGACACACTGGTAGACACACTGGGAGACACGCTGGGGGACACACTGGAGGACACACTGATGGGGTCGCTGACTGTCGCACTGGGGGACACACTAACGGACACATCGTCGGACATTCTGGGGTCGCTGACTGCCACATTGTCTGTGCTGTGTCCCGTGCCGTCCTTCGCTGATTGGCTGAGGTCTAGAGCTTCACCCCCTCCCCATTGGTCGGTCGTAGATGCAGCGACCTTGAGGTCTCCACTGTCGTGTTGTTGGTCAGCCGTTGACGAAGTGACCAGTCTGTGCTGGTCTGAAGTGACCACTCTATGCTGGTCTGAAGTGACCAGTCTGTGAACGTGCCAGAGTTCCCTCCCCGCTCGGTGACTAAGGTCTAGAGCGTCCCCCCCTCCCCGTTGGTCCGTGGTCGAGCCAACGACCTTGAGGTCTCGCCTGCCGCGGTCGCCAGAGACACACTCCTGCTTGACGGCGCGATGAGAAGCCGGGGGGGTCTGCCAGTGTTGTGAGACAGGGGGAGAAATCTGGAGAGTTGTGGGGTGCTGTTGCCGCGGCGATGCCTCCGTTAAACAGCGAGACGTCACAGAGTTTGATGTCACACAGCGGGACGGGAAGATGTTCTGGGAGAGATGTTGGTGGTTGGGGGGCTGGTGGGGTGGCCCGCCCACTCGCGGTGACAAGTCTTGAGGTCTGGGGTTCACTTCTCTGTTCTCATCTCCTTCCAACAGCTCTTGTTTAGCCCCACACACTGCACCCACAGCTGGGCCGGACATCTGACACACTGCACCCACAGCCTCTCCTCTCGTGGAGGGCGCTGTCGCTGATCCCGACATCTGAGAGACAAATGACAAACATATCCTCATTGGAAAGACAGACACAAAAATATCCTCGTTATATTGGAAAGAGAAAAACTGTGGGGACAAGCAGGCGAGTTAACGTAGAGAAGTTTCTGTCTGATCGCCGATACCGAGCTGTCTATATCGCTAGCGCTAGAGACAGAAACCTGATTCAATGTTTGATCAAGTAAGACCTAGAGGTCAGGTGGAACAAAACCATTATCAAGGGAGATAACAAAAAGAAATAAACAGAATACCAAACTCATCGATTAGTCCTACTTTATTATCTCCCTTGAATTCATTACTGGATCCCTTGTGACATTTCGCACCAGTCCCCTCCCTCTCCTTATAACAGAATTCCACAGTATCATTAGCAATAGTTTTGGTTACCTCTCTATAACGACATTTTTTCCTGGTCCCGACGGTGTTGTTTTACAGAGGCTGCAGTGTATTTGAAAGAGAAAAACATGTTTTACAGAGGCTGCAGTGTATTGAAAGAGAAAAACATGTTTTACAGAGGCTGCAGTGTATTTGAAAGAGAAAAACATGTTTTACAGAGGCCGCAGTGTATTGAAGAGAAAAACATGTTTTACAGAGGCTGCAGTGTATTGAAGAGAAAAACATGTTTTACAGAGGCTGCAGTGTATTTGAAAGAGAAAAACATGTTTTACAGAGGCTGCAGTGTATTGAAGAGAAAAACATGTTTTACAGAGGCTGCAGTGTATTTGAAAGAGAAAAACATGTTTTACAGAGGCCGCAGTGTATTGAAGAGAAAAACATGTTTTACAGAGGCTGCAGTGTATTGAAGAGAAAAACATGTTTTACAGAGGCTGCAGTGTATTTGAAAGAGAAAAACATGTTTTACAGAGGCTGCAGTGTATTTGAAAGAGAAAAACATGTTTTACAGAGGCTGCAGTGTATTGAAGAGAAAAACATGAAGCAAAAAACCAGATATTTCTTCTAGGAAGAGAAAAAAAAAATACCCTCAAGTTATATTTGAAAGAAAAAAAACAATACAAAATATCCAGTGGTTACATTTGACACAGAGAAGCAAATAACTTTTACAATTGTGTAGTTATACTAGAAAGAGAAAAACTTTAAAATATCCTCCAGTTATATTGGAAAGAAAATAACAAAAGGGTATTTATTCTCAAATAATATCGGAAATAGAAAAACAAAAATAATTGTGTAGTTATACCACAAAAAAAAAGAAACAACCTGTAACTAAAAACTGAAACTCAAAGAAAAAACAGAAAGAAAAAGAAATTCTTAAGTTATATTTGAACCCCCCCCCCAAAAAAAAAATCCTCAAATAATATGTGAAGGGGAAAACACAAAAATATAAATATTTGACAGGAAAAAAAAAAGTTTAATCCCCAAATTATATTTGAAATAGAAAAACAAAACAAAAGAAATATTGAGTAGTTCTATCTGAAAGGGAAAAACACAAAAATATTGTGTGGTTATGTTTTTTACAAATAATAAAAACACTCAAATTAGATTTGAAATTGAAATAGCTAAAAAATCATGTAGGCCTAGATCTAGTTATATTTGAAAGAAAAAAACCAAAAAATATTGTGTAGTTATATTTGAAAGAGAAAAACCAAAAAATATTGTGTAGTTATATTTGAAAGAAAAAACCCAAAAAATATTGTGTAGTTATATTTGAAAGAAAAAACCCAAAAAATATTGTGTAGTTATATTTGAAAGAAAAAAGCAACAACAAAAAAGAAATATCGAGCAGTTATATATTGGAAAGAAAAAAAGAAGAAAATATTGTTCAGTTATATTATTTATATTATTCTGTACCCAGGAACAGATACAAGCAAAGACTTCAGTATTAAACAGCCTATCGGAGTCTGTTGGATTGAGGATCCACCCCGGAAAGTCAAAGGTACTAAGGACAGATGCACAACGAAAGGAGCAGGTCACAATAAAAGGAAAGGCCCTAGAAAACGTTGAATCCTTCTGCTATCTTGGGAGTATCATTGACAGAGAGGGAGGAACAGGTGCTGAAATAAAGTCCCGCATTGGAAAAGCACAGGCTGCTTTCATATCTTTGGATAGGATTTGGAAGACCAGAGAGATCTCACTTCAAACAAAGCTGAGGATTTTCAATTCAAACGTGAAGTCGGTCCTGTTGTATGGATGTGAGGCATGGAACGCATCGCAGACTTGTATAAAGAGGATCCAGGTTTTCTTGAACAGGTGTCTAAGAAAGTTACTGAGGATCAGATGGACAGACAGGGTCACCAATGTGGAAGTGTTAAGGAAAACAATACAGATCCCAGTCAGAGATGAGGTAGGAAGAAGGTGGTGGCGATGGATTGGACATACTCTCAGGAAGTCAGGCAGCTGCATAACAAAGAAAGTTTTGGATTGGAACCCACAGGGCAAGAGATCAAGGGGAAGACTTCGTGGAACCTGGAGAAGAATCACAGAAATCGATGTACAGAAAAGTGGGAAGACATGGAATAACATCAAGAGGCTAGCCCAGGACAGAGAAAAGTGGAGGGTGTTTGTCCGTGGCCTATACCCTGGTGCAGGGTGAGAAAGGCAATGATGATGATATTATTTCAAAGAGAAAAAACAAAACAAAATATAGTCAAATTATATTTGAAATAGAAAAGCAAAAAAAATATTGTGTAGTTATATTTACAAGGGAAAAGCAAAAAAAAAAAAAAAATCATGTAGGCTAGTTATAATATTTGAAACAGAAAAAGACAAATGTGTGGCGACACGCTGGAATCAATTCTTTTTACATAATATTGAGTTAATGGTAGCATCTAACGGCATGTTCATTGGTCTAGCTTCAGATGAAAAAAAAAGCCCACAAATCTTGACTAGAAGTCGAGACATTTGCGACTGAAGGTCGGGGTTACCTAGGGTCACAGGTAAAATTGGCGAAAAATGTCTGCAAAGTTTGGTCATTTGTTTGAGAGTCTACGGAAACTGCAAATATACATTTTCTCCGCCTTTGATCAACATTTTACACTAAAATCCACTACCCCCCCCCCCTACCCCCAACCAAAATTCTCTAAAAACAAACAATAAACAAACATCACACCAACAAACAACAAACAGCACAAAAACAAACAAACAGACATCACAAGGACAAATCGTGACACTTACCTGTTTGGCAAAGTTTCTCTTGGCTTCCTCTGAGGCGCGTGAGTGGACCTTGAGTTCCTGCAGACAGAGGAGATGAGAGTAGAAATCAGCCATGTTCCAACAGACAGAGAAGAGAAATCAGCCATGTCCCAACAGACAGAAGAGAAATCAGCCATGTTCCAACAGACAGAGAAGAGAAATCAGCCATGTCCCAACAGACAGAAGAGAAATCAGCCATGTCCCAACAGAGATGAGAAATCAGCCATGTCCCAACAGACAGAAGAGAAATCAGCCATGTCCCAACAGACAGAAGGGAAATCAGCCATGTCCCAACAGAGGTGAGAAATCAGCCATGTCCCAACAGAC